AGTCCAGAGCACTAAGCCCAGAGCAGCAGCAACAACAACAACAACAACAACCACAACAATAACGAGCCTTCAACAGCGATATTGACAACTCTGTTGTCAAGAGGAAGCACTATACGGTAAATGCAATGATTTCATAACATTACCAACCTCAAAAAAAAAAGGAGAACAGAAACCAGCATGCGAATGTCAATAAGCACTATACCTACAGTATTGCAACTATGGAGTACTGTAGATGATTGTAGGCAGGGGGTAAAATGGACCTCAAACTGGAACGTAAGATCTGTCATATTTTGAGAGTCCCCGGATCTGAGATTTGCACCGCCTGAGGTGAAGAAAATAACTAATGGGTCTTCCGGCGCCCTAAACTTTTCCTTAGGTATGGTAGCCCCACGTTGTTGAGGCGACTGACTTGAGGAGGAGACGATCGTTATACTCGTCACTATTATCGTTCCATCGTCATCATCTTTGCTACTACTCCGTACCTAGAAGGCTATTGATGGTCATCCATAACTGAATGTGTTCATATTGTCAACGACATAGCAAACAAATACTCCCACATGGTCTTTTCCCTTCCCGTCCCGTCATACGCCCTCCGTCCGTCCCCAGAGGGCCGGGAAGTGAGCAGCAGCACTATGCCAAAACAGGCTATCCTCCCTACGGCGGGCCTAGCTAGAGCTTTGCTTCCTCTATGACTTTCAAAATGACTTTCATGACGCTGAACGTTATTCCATGATACCTGGCCAGCAGCTTGCTGGCCACTCGTCGTCGGCTACCACCGCTTGAAAGTCCAAGTATCAACTATTAGGGCCTGAAATAGATTAATTTGCCCCCTCTCCCCACGGAGGACCGACTGAACGAGCGCTGTGGAGGCTAGAAAGTACGCATTCTCCATAACATGATGAGTTGGCAATACATATATCCACTTGCGGAAAGGGATCTTGAAACACTGAACGCGATCCTCAAGAGACCCTAGCCCCTGTTTGATCAGAGATACCTTGCACGCTGTGGATGCCAGGCACGAACTCATTTGTGGTCTACAGAGTTTCCTCCCGTTCAAATGATTGCATGCAGACTTCCATACATGGCGTGGATAGTTGATGGCGCTCACGGGCCCCATGGTTGAACCTTCAGCCAGGAATATTGTCCGGGGAGGATGCCGGTGGTGGTGGTGGTGGTAGTGGTGGTGGTGCTAGCAAGCCCTTCCCTACCGTCTGTGTCGACGAGACTCTCGCTTAATCTCCGATATATCGTGGTCTCGAATCATCGATCACCGCCAATCTATTGACTCCTGCCAGGAATTCCCGGCAGCGAGACCCAAGAATCACGACAAAACGATATCCCGGGGAGAGGGGCTGAATTGAACCTTAATGCGGCTCCTTGATGAGATCTACCACAGGACACGGACACAGTGCTGCCTCTATTGAGTAATGAAGACCATCATTTGACTTTGCCTGTCAGACGAAAGACAGCCACTGTGACATGATAGTCCTCTGAATTAACGTGGGTGGCAGCCGATCCTATCACTGGGCCCAAGGGAGAGAACGAGAGAGCGGGAGAAGAAGGTTTAGGTTCGATTTGACTGCGGATTTGCGCTACACAGCATTTCCTTTTCTTTTTAGCGGGTCCTCAAACAGACGCCAGCCTGAGTTCAACTGCGTAGACTAACTAACTAGTTAGTGAATTAAGTATGTTACTCATAATTCATAACCAACTAATTTACTAAACTGACCTAACCTAATTGACTAATTACTTCTTTCGTCAAATTGAACTCCCAAGAAATTGGCTTGATACTGGTCACAAAGGCTACAAGCGTAAAGTTCAGCCCAAGGGACTTACCAATTGCCATCATCTGAGTGTTGTCTACCTATGTAGTAACTTATCGGGCAGTCTGCCCTAAGATAACGGTTCTCCTGGAGGGGGCAAAAAATCAAAACACACCAGCCACCACTAATCATATCAGCTAGTCTGGGCGTGATGTATCACAAAACCAAAAGCACCACTTCTCCCTCTCCTCTCCTCCCCGCTGAGACCCCCCTCCCTCCTCCCCTCTTCTACCATCAATGCGTTGTCCGAACCCGGAAATCCACTCTAGTCTAGTCTACCTGTCGACTTGCCTACGGTACCATCCCTGGCTCTACCGGCTTTCCCCTCAACGGACCCGTTTGGGCCCCACGCCACCCCGGTGGCTTCTACAGTAGTACGTACGTTCGCAACCCTCAATATACTTACATGCCTAAGTACCTAGTCTCATGGTCGAACATACACATATAACTTTAATCCCCATCCACACATGAGCCACGTCCGTCATGGTGCGGGTAATGACCAGGGTTGTCCCGGCGTGCCACTATGCAAGATCACCTCATGTATCAGATTTTTTTGAGTGCAGTTCGCCACTTCCCTCTTCCACCTTCAGTCTCCAGCTCATGGGGCTGAGATGAGCTGGCTGGCTGGCTGGCTGGATGGTCTAGCCGGGCTGGCACGAAGTCTCAACTCACATTAATCCCCTTCGCAGGTGAGGTCCCATTCCCCGAACGGGTCATCGCGATCAGATATCCGATGAAAGGCGAGACAAAAGGTCGGGTGATGTCGCCGCCGGCAAGGCTACGACGACTCGTGCCATGTTTCAGGTTCACAAAGGAAGGGAGTAAGTAGTTATTCTTCAGTGATTCTATGGTTTCCATCGGATCTCGGTAGAACTGTCTCGATAGAAACCCTCGAATGACCGGCCCATGGCAATGCAGCATCCCCCATCTTCCTGCCGGACTGTCCGAATCCGTCTCTGAACATCCTTCCCCCCCCCCCCTGTCGGCAACGGTTAACCACCTTGCCTTAATTATTGCACTTTGCTTTGGGCCCAGTGCGAAGTGGCCTTTCAGTACAACCTGGATGAATCCTTGCCACTCTGGCGTCGCGTTCCAGGCCCTACCGGGGGAGGGAGGCGAGAGGACCGACCAGCGATGAGGGCTGGCTAAGTGTTGCTCTCCCTACAGTCTCTGACAGACTAAGAAGCTTCAGGCATACGCAATTGACATTGATGATGCAAGGCATCATCAGCCGTCAGTTCTCCATACAGGGTCACCGTCTATCTATCATATGTGGCCCGAGGATTCTGTAACCAGACACAAGAACGACAATCATCAGCACTCCATCTCACGGGATCCACCCTTGACCCATCCCAAATAGCCTTTCTATTATTACCACCGACCCCGTGTCAATCCGTTCAGCAGGCAGAAAAGAATCTTAAATAGAGTAAAATCGTAGGTGATCCTCGAATTTGCAGACACAGGAAAGAGCCTCCCACCTGATCGAAGCCCGAGGTCGGGCGAGCCCCGAATCAAACCTACTGTACTGTACTTACATTGGTTGATTAATTACAATTGTACTCAACCTCTCAAGTCGAGGCTCGCACGGATCCTCGACCCTCCCTATCCTTTTTTTTTCTCTTCGCTCTACTTTGCTTCGTCTCAAATCTAGGGGATGCAAGACAAAGAAAGTCTATCAGAACTGTGAATCCCCACATAGGCAGCGGGCCGCAGAATTCGAAACATCCTCTTTCTCTTTTTTATATATTAACTTTTATAATTTTTTTCATTTTCCCTTTCCCCTCGCGACTCCGTATTTAAAGTTGAGACCATTGCCGACGGATTCGCGTTCACATACCAGATTTAGAGAATGGCATGGCGTCTACGGTACCGTGCGGTGGGACTTTCGGCGCAAAGTACAGTAGTACAGTAGTACAGTAGTACATAGTCCATATTCCATAGTCTAACTATCGAGTACCGTAGTCAGTTCTAATTGAATGTGAAGAAAAGGTGAGTGCTTTGTGTCCAATCCCCGTTCCTATCAATCTAAGGTATCCTCCGAAAATTCCCAGCCAATCGAGCTCCAGCCAATCTATTGACCCATCCTGCCCTACCTAGTAGTAGCTGGCGGGCAGGCATTTGTCCGGTAGTAGCCTGGAGGGGACTTCTCGGGGCTGTTTGTCACTGTACAGAGCGTAGTAGTTACGGTGGCTACGCGAGTGACACAAGAGGACTCAGTCTCGGACTACATGGCATGGAGATCTCCGTTCAGTGTACAGTACGGAGTACTTTTTCCCTCTTACCCAGCGGCTCTTGATTGTAGCTATGCTACTGCCCTCGTCTTCGCATGACCGATCAATCAACAACTCGAATGACTTCCACTAGGGCAAGATCCATGGCCGCATCCCGCGCTGCCTGCTTGTGGTGTGCTGTCTCGGGACTCGTCGTTTGCTAGGGCATTTTCTGCTGTCCGATGCTTGGGTATACTCTCGATGTTCTGTGCCGGTGTCTTGGGTTCGATGGCGCCCTTCGGAGGGTTGATGCGCAGCCCTCTGCGGCTTATGTCTGTATCTAATTCGCAGTCTCGCTGGAAGAAGAAAATCCGAATGTCCCAGCCAAAATGGGGGTCAATGAGTTGATCTGAAGCTTAGAAGCCTTGAACTCCAGCTTTCATTCCCCAAGCTGAAAAATTCCATGGCTGCGTGCTCTTTGCGTGCCAGACGACACATAATGCGGCTATCCGCTCTGGTCAAAGTTGGCTCAAATGGCAACAAAGGAAGTCGGCCAGTCCCTCCTCTGCTGAAACAAACCACTACTGGTTCAATGGGGGCTGCTCTTTGATGATTTTTATGCGAAACAAAGACAAGCTTGCATCGCTTTGTTGTGATTGTTCCTGAAATAGTACGAGGCTTTTTTTTTCTTTTGCGCCCCCATCTACCAAGCAGCTTCAATCAGAAAACTGTCTGCACAATGGCCAAGTCGGACTTCTTGGTGTGAGACTGCCAGATAAAATTCCCAACGGGTCAGTATGTCTATACCGTTCTACTTTCACGCTCTAGCAATCTGTTGTCGTTTTCACTCTATCGAAATAACTTGAACCTGACGAGGTTGAATCTCCTAGCTTACTCTAATCTGTCTTTGCTTTTTTTTTCTCTCTCTCTCTCCAAGCCGTCTCAGGAGATTCGCTTTCCTTTCAAGATGGTGGTGAGATCCGATAGTTCGGTCAGCCCGGATGAGCCCTTCAAGCATGAGAAGTCTAGCGATGTCCACCCCGATGACGAGGGCTCAATCGATGAACACCCCGATGATGAGGGCTCCGATGACGAGGGCTCAGAGCACGAGAGCTCCGAGGACGAGAGAGAACTCGTCATACTTGAGCTTCCCAAGGTGGATGGTGCCGACTATGCAAATGAGGAGATCGAGGCCGAGCTCACTCGTGTCGGGCATTGGAAATCTTCGAGCTATGCCATCCGCCGTCCACGAATGTTCATTCCAGTCCCGAAACCCGAGATCAAATCGGAGCTGGCTTACACCATGCTGTACCACAAGTATTTGGTCGGACGGACGACCTTCCGAGTCCTGGTCAGCACCAACCCACCGCCGGCCCCGTTCGACCAGACGAACACGAACACGCTGGGATACCAAATGCTCCGGGAGAGTGACGGCAGCACGTTTTCCTTCCTGAGGCGCCTGCTGCCGGAACTGTGCCAGCCGTTCTTCAAGGCATATGCGGACTGGACCGGCGACGACCTCGAGAGCCATCTCCTGCGCGCCGAAGTCCACTTGCAGTTGGTGACCACCAAGGACGGACTGCCCACGCTCATCAACCTCACTCCGCCGGGCCATCTCCCCGCCTGGATGGTTCGTCAGGGTCCGGGATATGACAACACCCCCTGGCTGGACCTAGACATCCCAGCCGGCTTTCCCCGCTACGACCTCGCAGCAGCCAGATTTCTGGAGACGATGGCACCGAATTGGGTATACAAGGTTGAGATCAACGGCGCGCCGCTCATCTACAAGAGAGGGAAATGGCGGAAGTGGCTTACACGCGAGGCCACAATGCTTCGGGAATTGGAGGGGTGTTCCCTCCGCGTACCCAAGCTGGCTGGCTTCATAGGGTTGGAGAGCCAGTGTCCGGGAATTCTGGTATCGTTCATCCCTCACGAGACCACACTGTGGGATATTCGGGACAACATGCAGACGACGGATCTTGGTGTGCGCCACAAGTGGTTTGACCAGATTCATGAAACTGTCATGGCGCTACACCAGAGGGGGATGACCTGGGGAGATGTCAAGCCAGACAACGTTCTGGTTGACAGCAACCAGGACGCTTGGATTATAGATCTAGAGGGAGGTTTTACGAAGGACTACGTGCCCCTAGAGCTAACGGGAACAGTAGCAGGTGATCTTGTGGGGTTGAAGGCGATCCGCGAATTCTTGTGTTCACCGGACTGAAGCATAGATGGCTGGCTATGGTTCAGGGGCTTGAAGCCCTATAATGGTGTACCTTGTGAATGCTTTGATCAGCTTTGGTTGTGTTTCTCCAGAATGTGACTACGTGTTTCTGTTTGCCTGGCTTCTCGCATGGCTGGTGCGCACACCGATTTCCCATTCTTCGCTCCCGTTTGTTCCGTCCGCTCTTTCTTTAATCGCCGGTGCTACGACGGGCGGCTAGAGACCGCTGACCTGTACTGTTCCATGACTGACCTGAGTCGGATAGTATCTGTCTAATGAGTGTGCCCAACAAGGTCACCAATCCAGTTTGTTTTCTCTCCCTACCCGTTTATCTCCCCCGCGTGCAGAGTGCCGACATCAAGTAAAGCATGAGTCTTTCGATCAATCCAGCCAGCAGCCACACTCGCTGCGTCATCGATGTTTAGGGGGGGGAGAAGAAAGATCTAGCCTCTTGTCAGACAAGCTCCGGAAGCCTCTTCACAGCCGGCGTTGTTTTTATAGAAGGGTCTGATCTCTGTTGGAGTCCATCGTCCGTCATGTCATCCTACCATTCGCTTTTCCCGATTCGAATAGCCGATCCTCTATAACTCCACCAATTCCTCACCCTTCGATCCTCGGCTGCTTTTCGGACCTACATACTCACGGGTCCATCATTCACCCCCCCCCTTCCTCCCTAAAAAAAGACAGCCCCCATCCACCATGGCCCAGAACGGGGACCCATGGTCAGACACTCCCACGGCACGGTGCGGCAAGCATCCCGTGCGGTCCGAGGAGATCCAGCGACGTGGCACATACGTCAATGCGCAAGGACAGTTCGTGAAGTATGATTACAATGAGACTCTTTATGATTCGGATGGCTTCTGCGCAGTGGAAAGTTGCGCCTTCCGGATGTACAACGGCAGGTGGAAATGCCATGTCTGCGGTGGTGGTCCCAACACCGAAGGACGCTGTGAGAGGAAGGTGGTCGAGAACGGCAAAAGCAGGACTTGCAACCATCAGTGCTGCCACACGTGCCGGGCTTGGTGGTAAGCGGGCAGCCTTGGGTCATTTTGGCGTTGGGGGTGTTCTTCTTCGTGACTCTGATCCTCTTCATCAAACAGGTTAGATTGGTTTTTGGGGAGGGGAGGGGGGGTTGTATCTACAATCTACAGTACGAGATTAGTTCACGAGCCTTCAATAGTGGACAGCAGCCACTACGCACGTTGTTTGATTGAATTGAAATAGACTTTCTTCTTTCCTCTTCCCTCCCACTCGAAAAGGCCTAGGGTGAAATGGGTTTCTACTGCTGCTGTCGTAGAACGAAGGAAAAGAGAGAAAGACTATCGTATCGGCCCCGACAGAGCGGCTAAACCTGCCAGAATGATATCAAACTGTAGATTGCTCCTCCCCTGAAACATCTTTGTGTGGGTGTAGTAGGTGTAGTATCGTCCAGAGGGGAGAAAAAAAAAACAAATGACATGTCATGTTTTGGCACAGCCGCAGTGGATGTATATGTTGACTGTCACAGACCACCGGTAACGTTACCTACTACAGTTCACTTTCTTTTCCCATTGCGCCTATTGTTCGGATCTTGATTCCGGGCCACTCAATGGACATGGAAAAAAAGACCAAACATCCAGAAGAAAGAACCTTGTAACATAAAAACAGATATGAACTAAATAGTCCGCGTCAGTCAGGTTTACAAAGTAAGTTAAAGTGAAGCACACTGCAACCAATACTCCTAGCACAGACACCCATTCGCCCGCGCATCTGACACATCTCAGTTGCCACGAACTAAGCAGACCATGACTCCGTCTGCAATGCACAATTCTCTGCAAGTGGAACACTGAGCAGACCAAAGGTTTCGACCGACCCACCGGCTGCGAGAGCCGTGCGTCGTCGGAGGACAACACACTTTTCCCCTCCGGGCAGACGTCTCAGATGGCGTATGCCTGGATGGGTAAAAAGGGAAGTTATATGTCATATGATACTTATCGTCATCCGCGGCGGATCAGAGGATGGTGCATCGGCGAAGAGACGGACCCATGAAGGCGTCCAACCATATACATATGATTCAGAGTCTGGGCTGGCCAGGCAGATACGAATGCAGCTCAATGCACGCTCGATGATTCCGGTGGAGATTAAGTTTGGCACCACGGTCTGTCGGGCTGCATGAGTGCACTGCAGATTGGAACTACTGGAGAAAAGAAAGAGGGGGATTCGATAGGTTCAAGTATGGACGATGAATTAATCAAGTACAAAAGCAATGCACTAGCATGCAACGAAGCAGCGTAAAACAGCAAAGGAACGTCTATAACACACGTCGAGACCGCTCACTGGGGGCGAAAGCCCGGTGGCCACAATCCAACCCAGCGTTGGATGCGGGCGGCCAAAGGGCGAACCGTCCACAAGCCCGTGGCCGCGTCTCCATATTAAGCAGGATAAACACAAGAATAAACCATCATTTCTTCGAAGGCAAGCACTGCTGCGCAAATGTTGCTCAACCCAATATTCAAATTATTATCATAAGAACAGCAGAGTACTGGGAATAACGACCAATTGCTCCTTAAGCAACTTTACACACAACGACCATCATAGGGGTTTAATAAAAGCGGCACACGCAAACAATCACTATCGGAGGCCCTTTACAAAAGGTACTGGACGAAAGCACCGAAGATGGCAGCGGCACCCATGGCGGGGACGTTGACAATGTTCATGACAGAGGCGCTGTCGCTGGAGGTGGAAGAAGCGGAGCTGGTGCTGCTGGTGGAAGTGGTGGTGCCGGAAGAGCCGTCCTTAGTGGTGGGGTGGGAGGTCTGGGTGCACTTGTAGGTACCACGGATGACGTTGTTGCTGTGCATCTTCTCGAAGGTGCTGCAGGTCAGGTTACCGGTGCTCTGGACGTTGAAACCACCCTTGACCTCCTCGAGAGCGGGAAGAGAGACACTAGAAGCAAGTTAGTCAAGGCACATAGAGTCAAGTGCAAATGTAGGCAACTTACGAGTTGAATTCACCGCTGAAGTCAATGGCACCAGTAACAGTCTCAAGGTCGGGGAAAGAGATCTCCTCGAGCTTGTCGTTACGGGCAATTTGGAAACCACCGTTGACGGTCTTGAGGACGGGCATGCTGATGTTGGTAAGGTCGGAGTTGTCGTCGAAGACGAGATCGCCAGTGCTGGTGAGGTTGGCAGCGCTGAAGTTGGAGAAAGAGTTGCCCCAGAAGCCGAGCTGTCCGCTCAGCTCCTTGAGGGAGGGGATAGAGACGGCGCTGACGTTGCGGAAGGTCATGTTGGTACCACCGGCAAGGTTGGGGAGGATAATCTGGAGAGAGTCCAGGTTACCAGCGAAGTTGATCAGACCAGTGGCGTTGGTCAGGTCGTTGACGTTGACGGTCTTCAGGTTGGTGTTCTCGGTGATGTCGAAAGTGCCGACGCTCTTGAGAGAGATACCATCCAAGCTGGTCAGACCGGTGTTGGTGATCTCGACATCGCCAGCCTCGGAGACACCCTTGGTGAAGTCGAGAGACTGGAGCTCAGGGAGGGCGGTCCAGGAGATGGCACCGACGCTGCTCAGGTTGGTCAAGCTGAGGGTGGTCAGGGTGGTCAGACCGTTCAGCTTGAAGGTGTCGCCGATCGTGGCAAGGCTGGTGGAGGTGAGCGAGGTGAGGTTGCTGGCGCCATCGCTAGAGAGTCCACCGGTGATCTCGTAGGGACCGTTGATGCTCAGGTCACCAGAGAAGCTCTCGCTGATCTCAACGTCACCGGTGAGCTTCGTGCAAGTGGCGTAGCTGTCGGCATCGCTCTGGCTGGCGATCTTGATGGTGCTGCCGCTGCTACCACAGCCTGATTTCGTGGTCAGTAAGAATTGCAACTGTCATCTCGGCAACCCAGGAAGAAATTCACTCACTGGCAGCGAGGGCGACCTGGGCCGCAGCGATGGCGGGAATAGCGTATTTGATGATGGCCATTGTTTCGAGTTGAGTTTAGACTGTTCGAATCCAGAACTTGACGTTAGCCTTGGAAGAATCGTGATGGTGGGTGATTTTAGAAGCCTGTCTTCCAAGACTGGCTGCAAGATTCTGACATGCAGTATCGGGCTCACTCGACAGCTGATGCGGAAGCAAGCAGATCTATTTGAGCGACGCAGGAAGAGAGTGGGACAATGAAAACAAACATGGAAACCTACCAATGACTGGAGAGTGGATTTTTGTGAAGTCTGGGCAAGGCGTGGCCCTTTGTAGTCAAGTTAAGCGTAAGAGCTGGAAAGGGGTGGAAGCGAAACAATAAATAAACGAATGGAAGAAGGGAGCTTCAACGAAGGAGAAGCTTTTTGTTCAAGTTTTGTTTTAGCGATTGCCTTCAAGGGAAGGAAAGAATCGGTTTGTTTGGTGCGGCGGATTAGGCAGGCACTTTCTGATATGGAAGAGAGAAGAGAAGAGAAAGAAGCGAGCGAGTGGGAGGAAGAGGAGGAGAAGAAAGAAAGACTGGGATAACAAGAAGGAAAAACCACCAAGAAAGTGGGAAGGAAGACTTTCAGGGAGGACGAGAAAGGAGTCGTGGCCCCGAGGTTTAGTTTAGTTTAGTTTAGGTGTGGACCTGAGACCGGGGGGAATTGAAGAGTGAATCTCCTTGCGACGTTACCGGACTGTGTATGAACACAGCAAAAACCATACACTACACCGTAACTTACAGAGATCCTGGAAGTAATTGTACCTTCTAGGTACAATTTACTTAGTAACTTACTTAGTACCTGAATGAATCTGGCTCCTTCCAGAGTGTGTCCATGGTAACGAAAGTACCGGGAAGGCGGCGGGAAAAGAATAATAAACCGGCCACCAGCATGATCCAAACCCACAGGAATCCGGTTCTTCTGAATTTCTGACCGGAAACAGTCCATCCTAGGACTTCTTAGACTGCTCCATCTTGTAACACTTCGCCAATGATCATGCCTGACAACCCTTTCTGATTCGCTCAGCAGCCCCTTTCCCCCCCCCCCCCTCCCCTCTCCCCTCTCCCCATCACCATACCAAAACAAAAATGTCTAACTGTCTCTGCTGCTTCCAAGACCAGAGATTTACTGGACTATTAGTAGTGTTTACATGACCGTGACTGCCCAGTGATGACTGGTGGTTCATACTTTCATCCAATGAGATATTCTTCGCTGCCCTACCTACACTGCACCTGCCAGGAAGCACCTAGTTCTATGAATGGATTGAGAACAGAGTCTCCAGTGCGTCCGACGTCATACATCATCAATTGACTCTGAACTGAATTCTAGAGACAGTACGGAGGGAGTATTCACATCGGTACTGCGAGCGACGGGGTAGACTCTTTCTCTTTCTTGTCATGACCGACTGCGACCCAGACAGCGGAAATTCGACAGTGAAATGAAAATGCGCCCCTTCGACGGAATGCAGCTGGCGATGCGTCGCGGGAAATTGGGACTGGAGCGAGGTAAAATGACGATGATGCACCAGCACAGGCAAGGCAAGTCGATACAAAATTAGCATCTCGCCGCTAGGAGGGGGGCCAGACCTCTTTTCATTTACATTGTTTAGGAAGCTCCCGAAGGACCTATCTGTTCCACCTAATATGTATTTGACACCCCGTCTGCCCCCCCTCCTCCTTCCCTCCCTTCTTCACACAAATCATCTAATTTCAGATTCTATCATTAGCCAACATTTGTCGATTATTGAGTTGTCCAGGACTGCCGGGGCCCGGGGCCTGGATGGCACGTTTCCAAGAATGTAAAGGCTAAGTGTTGTTATTGAGCCGGGTCGTCGCGTAGTGGTCGATCTGAATTTATTGGAATCTGAGGGAGCCCCGCCACTGGCAGGCTACGAAAGACCGACGCGCGACTCTTGGTTTCTCGCCTGCCGTACGTTGGTATGTGCTTGGCAACAACAGCAGTAGCAGCAGGTTCGGGAATTCCATTGTTCACAGCTCGGGTATCAGCCACCATTGTGCCTCATCTTGACAATATTGACTTTCAACCCAAGATGGCTATTGTTTGGGAGCATATAGCTGAGATCGTTCTACAAGAGACCTCATCACCCTTCATTGCTTTTCTTCTTCGCCTGCAAACTCAATTTGTATGAGTATCTTGGCTTCAGGTACGGGTGGGTACCAGACCTGGGAGAGCGGATAAACAGATGCAGTGCCCTCACCAGAAAACCTAATAATAAACCCACCGAGCGAAGTGGCGAGACAGGAAACCCATCAAGGGCGAGATTATCACGTGCTGCTATCATTCATACGTAGCACCACTGTAACTTTTCATACCACCGGTAGTAAGACCCACATCGTCTGGGCAAAGGCTGGAATAGTGAGCAGATCTGGTATTACCTCTAGGGCGTAACTTACATACCGTACAGTCTAGGTACATTGGTCCGGCTGGATAAGCCTGCCGATGGATGGAAGTACTGTCACTGCCCAACCTTGAAGTGTGCAGCTAGTCGGAGGTAGCAGGATGTCATAGGTCCATCGTCTCCGACCAGTGATGATGACCTGAAACACTCATGAGATGACTCTATCTACGTGCGCTATCAATGGTCTCTAAGCGACACTCTGCATTATCGACGATACCTAGCCTGTAAGGAAGCTGCTGGTGGATGATGAAGTAGTACGAGTAGCACTTTTTTACTCGTAGCAACCATGAGTCAGCGAGGAGGGGACGAACGCAAGACTGACCCAACATAACATCTGAAAAAATTCCTGGAAATTTGATCGTCATGGTCACTGCCGCTATTGCTTGTTCCTCCTTGATCGGCTTTAGAGTTCTTCAGCTACCATCAGACCCATCGAACGAGAACGAAATAAAAAAAAAGAAGACTCCACAACTTATCGGTCGCAATAATCAGACCCAACACGGCAATCGACTATCCTTCTTAAAGTGGCGCAATGCGCCCTTGCGATCCAGAGCAGAGGAACGATGGTATGTATATTAAGCTCACTAGGGATGCTACGTTTGTCAGTCAGTCAGTCGACTTGAGCGTGAGAGTCCAGCGGAACAAATACCTCTATTGTGCATCGAGTCCATGCAAAGTCCTCGGGTGGTAAGTTAGAGTTGTTGTTGCTCTGCATGGAGGTTCCTCCGTAATCAACCTTTACCAGCGAGCACGTTCGCCCTAGCGCCACGACGACGCGGGTGGCTTGCCCCGGCTAACGACTGTATAGTGTACTAGTAAACTAAGCTAATCCCTCTACTCAGTGACAGACTGACAGTAGTCTAACTTCTCCTTTTCGCTGATAAGAACAAAGGAAATCCGTGACTATACGAGTAGAATGCAGCAATCCCGGAATGACTTGTCAACCACGACGTCTAGGTATCAGGTGTGAATCATGGCAGTTCTTCTACCGGACACGTCCACAATCATCACTGATGCGTTGTATACAAACACCCGCTCCGATGTCTCGGTGTCAACGCTCGGCGTGCGCCACTGGCAGTCATGCTCTTGCATCGCACTACGATTGAAAGCATGCTACGGAGTAATCATACGCGATTCGATCAATTGCTGAGATCCTAATGCCTACTAACCATAGAGACAGGTCTGTCTCTTACCATTTCCTATGTCGGCGGCCTCATCACCACATAGCCTTATGCCGCCCGTTGCTCTGATTTATACTTCATTTTCTCCTAATGAGCCGAGGAAAGCTTTCGCTTTCATTTCTAGTACCTGGTTAATAGAACATCAGGCTCTTTCGAGTGTTCTAGCTGTCTACTAGTTGGTTTTGGGACCCCAATGTAAGTCCTGACCTCGGGACCTCCCTTTATCAAACGGCGACCAACGCGGCCGTTCTGGCCCCTAACATACTTGGTATTGGAAGCATACCATACCCATGCAGACTGTCTCGTTCTGCCACACAAACAGACGTACTGTAAGTCGCATCTATGAGATGCATACCATCACCTCCTACCTCCTACAAAGAGTCAGTTGACCTTCTCAGAGTTATACAAACGACTAAGAGAGTGGTCCACTTTGCTTTTTTCTTCTTCTTTTCGTGTGGATGTGCAACTTGTACCACGACCATGGTCCGCTCAATCGATGACGCAAGCCCACGCTATCGGTATCGATCGTAAAGGTCCGATTCCTTACCTACCAATGGTTGATGGTAATTAACCTTTCTCATTGGCTGTCCAACTGTAAACCTGCCCCCTTCGAAAGTCATCCGCCACCAAAACCAATTCCCTGGGCAGATATGCGCCACCAATTTTTGCCTCCAATCCCCTCCGTGAGTGGATGCAAAGAAGAATCTCGGCCAGCAAGCAAAAAAAACAAACAAAAAAAAAAGTGTTTTCTTATTTCATGTGAACCACATCCCAGTGCCAAACAAATGCTTGAGACATAGCCAATCGGGCCCTTTCCAGCGATTTGCAACGGAGTCTTCCGTCCACAGATTCAGTTCCACACTGGAAGAACTCCCATGGAGTTGATCATATATTCTGTGTGGTCCACTGCTGTCGACGGAGAAAAGCAATCTATTCAGCAATTGTCCATGCTTCTTGACCGTTCCATCTCGGGTTAGAGCGGTGAGGACTAACTATGTATGCGTTCGAGAGTAGGAGCGATCATAAAGGAGACGGTCATAATGAAAAGGGGTAATCGGCATGGAGAAGGACCAGTAAGCTGAAGTTGGTTCAGTGTGGGCAGAACTCCATTGATCACATAGCAAGTGACATATCCCGAAGACATTGCGACTGTGGAATGGCTGAACCAGTTTAGATGTCTAGACCTGGAGAGGAGACAGCATCGAGCTACAGTAGTGAGCACGCACGGCGAATCTCTTGTGGAACCGACTAGCTATCCTTTGTTGTAACGATTACTGTGAAGTCGACAGGTTCAATGGGGGTTGATAGCCGGCATAGGAGCAGAAAAGAATTGAACGACCTAGAGAATCAGTCCTTTCAATTCTCCACGAGTGATAATGCTCAATGGTGAGCATGTATGTTGATGCTCTCGACCCGGCGGCCCAGCTTATTGGCCTCCGTTGCTCCCCTGCGCCCTCGCGACGTCACTCCGCCAAGAGTAACCGCTGCAACGAGTGACTGACGCCGTCAGAGTATGTGCATTCGCGCTCTGACTTCCTACAAGCACCACTGTACCAGTATTGATTATATACCACCACTTGCGGGTATGATGGCGTTACGGCGTTCCGCTCGTCTGAGCGCACTGCCCACTGGCAAAGTACCAGTGCTGCAGCCAACCACCACCGCACAAGTCAGGAACAGCAGCAGCCGCAGCCGCCAACCGAGCAACAAGGTCTCCAAAGCACGAAAACCATCAGCCAGGGGCAAGAAAGCCCTGCATGCAACGGCCCCAGAGCAGATTGCCCCTTCAAGCTCGACCCCAGCCAAGTCTACACCCTCATCCGCCACAGCGCCCTCCGACTCGGAGAACAACAGATCAGCAGCGCCTGCTAACATCTGGGACCCCGTGCCTGGTAATCATGATCACAGGGCGAGCACCCCTTCTCCTCCTCCTCCTCCTCCTCTCGACCGACCCGTCGAGCCGCACCGCACCAACGCAACTCTCCTGACCCCGCACGGCTCCTCACTCGTCGCCTACCCTCCCGGAACGGAGAATGAGTCGCCCACCAAGACAGGCCGACCACGGCCGACCGCCACGACGGGGACGCTCCTCGAGAAAGCAACTGCCCATCTAATCGCGACGGACCCTCGACTCGAACCGCTCATCAAGGCCCACCCGTGCCCGCTCTTCACCCCGGAGGGGCTGGCGGAAGAGATCGACCCCTTCCGAAGCCTGGTCCAGAGCATCATCGGACAGCAGGTATCTGGTGCGGCGGCCAAGTCGATCCGTGATAAATTCGTGGCATTGTTCACAACTACAGGAGAGCACGGGACGGATGCGGACAGGTTTCCGACGCCGGAGGACATCATCAGGATGGAGATCGAGACGCTGCGGACAGCGGGCCTCTCCCAGCGCAAGGCCGAGTATATCCTGGGGCTGTCGCGGAAATTCGCCGACGGGGAGTTGAGCGCGCGGATGCTGCTGAACGCCACGGACGAGGAGTTGGTCCAGAAGCTGACGGCCGTGAGGGGCTTGGGCCTCTGGTCCGTGGAGATGTTTGCTTGCTTTGCCTTGAAGCGCATAGACGTCTTCTCGACCGGTGATCTGGGCGTGCAGTACGTCAACCCTCTTCCTCGTTGCCTCCACCGTCGATCGTAGTCCGCTAAATAAGTTCTTCTCAGGAGAGGATGCGCCGTGTTTACAGGAAAGGATGTAAGCAAGTTGAAGGGGAAAGGTGGAGGTAAGTTTAAATACATGGCTGAAACAGATATGCTGGAGTTGGCCGCCAAGTACGCCCCATACAGGTACGTATTGGAACTGCTATGTGCTATGGGCGCTCCTCATTGCTTACATCTATCCTAGGAGCCTCTTCATGTGGTACATGTGGCGAGTGACGGATGTAAATCTCGCCGTGATGAGCTCATAGGTCTGGGGAGAGTAAGTGATGATGTAAAGGCCCTTGGTCTGCACAGTCCACCGAGGGATGCATATGAGACTATAGAACTGTATACAGCCAACCCTATGGGCTAGCTAGCCCCCTAGATGTGACAGGATATCTTGGATAGCAAGGCGAGCATAGTCCAAAGAACCCATGCATTTTGTGTATAAGCCTGAGTTCTCCATTGATGACGTAGACCACGTCGTTATATAGAGGAATGACACTCGAGGCATGGAGTGCCGTGAAAACGGTTACAATCATTGCAAACTGCAAGCTGCAAACTGCAAAATGGAATGAAGCATAGCAATGGACGAAGACAGATGGATTTGTACAGTATCAGTACACGTGGTTGAGCGACATATCAAAAGGTTCGATGAAGCGTTAGCTGGGTGCCAGTGGTGGGTAGCATCTCAGCTGAATCGGGCAAGATAAATTCTTTTTCTCATTTCTATCCCGACCGTCCACGATTCCTGACGACGACAGTCTAATTCCGGTAACAAAAGGGCTCGAATTAATGAATCAATTACCGGCGGACGACGAGGGTGTCGAGGTCTTCACGCTCCTTCTTCTCCTTCTCGATCTCGCGGATGATGGGGCTCAGGTACTCAACATCCTGTAGTCATCATTAGTATATGTGGTCGAATGGTTGGGAATTGGTCGGGACAGAGAGATGTAGCCTGTCCGTGCACCGTTCTCCAAGTTCCGTCCAGGTGACAAATCCGGCTCACGGGATTGGCCGAGACGGTTTGCGGAGAACTGAACGGCCTATACTCGGAAGGCATGGGATCAGATTGGACTCACCTCCTCGGGCTTGGTCTGCTCAGCAGGGGGGAGAAGGGTGTGAGAGACGGAGCACTGTTTCCGAGCTTCGTTAGCCTGTTGCTTCTTTGTGATATCGGGGTCTTCGGTAGGGCGAACCTGGAATGCTCTGCGGATACGGAAGATGCGGTCGTAGGCCTCCTTGGGAGGAAGACGCTTGAGAGCAGTCTGAACAACGTCGCTCTCCTCGGGGATCAGGTCGTCGGCCCTACGCCCGGTCAGTTCATGGTGCCTTTGGAAGCAAACGCGAAGGATGATTTGTCCAGGGCAGGCAGCGATGCGGGTATGAGCAAGGGTTCACACAGAACATCATGAGAAGTTCATGATATACCCTCCGGAGTCTTTCACCGCTGTATACCGAATACATCGAATGCCAGTCTGAGCAGATTGAATGGCGAGGACACCTACTTAAGACCGAGTCTTCTGTAGCCGGCGGCGTCGGTGTACCACTGGGCGAGTGGCGTCATCCAGCGCTTGAGCCATGGGCGCTTGACAATGAAGTTGGTGATGGAAGGGGCGGACATTGTGATAGATCCCAGCAGCGGGCGTGAGAAAGTCCAATTGACAAGGTGGTGTGGCGGGGGAGGACTGCGAGATGTCAAGGCAAGCTTAGCAGGAGACGACCCGACGTTGGAGATTGTGCAAAACGGAGGTTCGGCGGGTGAACTTTCCCAAAAACATCCGAATTTGGGCCTGAGGCACCACGAATTGTCCGATTTTGTCCATAATATGTCTCACGTGATAGGTTCCCCGAGCGTCGACACCCTGCCCGGTGAACTGTCGGTGCCTCAGGCGCTAACGGCGCTTGGTGCCGGTCTATTGTGGATTTACTCCACCTGACTTAGAGCGAGCGTTGCTGCTAACTAACGCAATTCAATTCATCTCGCCCACACGACTCCGTCCTTTTCCGTGTCTTTCAAGTTCCCTGCTCCCACTTGAGTTACTGGCTTTTATGCTCATTGCCCTGGAATCTTCATTGCTCGTTAGGCATGGGGAGGATCATTCGCTGAATATATTTTCACTTGAAAGGTTCTGCCATTCCGACCTCCGATAGTAGCGTTGAGTCGATCTTCCAGACCCCGCCCCCGTCTGTGCCCCCGACAGGGTAACCTCGCAACGCATCAAAGCAATCGCTGGCCAGCCTCGGCTTAAAGGGGTGTCATCAGCGTTTTCATCAGTTTTGAGTGTCGCTATCTCGTCGCCCGTGCTCTCAACGACGCCATTCTTCCGCATTCCACCACGATTTGATAAAGGATCATACTGGGTTCCGGAGCGAGCACCGATATGCTCGGATCCGGGAACCCTCGGTGACATATAAAACGAACCAATAACTGCTTGCGCACTGGCTGCGAACATGTATTCCGAAGGACATGGCTCTTCGGATGCCACCAGCGGTTCTCAAGAGCAGCAGGGTCCTGCATCACCCTCTACGCCTGATACACCGCCCCCCATGCTGACGAACTCGACCTTCGTTGATCGCCTCGAGATGATCTCCACGCGCATACCTGACGTCTGGATTACACCCTTCTGTGGAGCTAGTGCGGGTGTAGCGTCGGGTATTGTCACCTGTCCCTTGGATGTGATCAAGACCAAACTGCAGGCTCAAGGTGGATTCGCACGACGGCGCGGCAAGGCGGTCGAAACGAAGGAGCTGTATCGGGGCATGCTTGGTACCGGAAGGGTAATTTGGCGGGAAGACGGAATTCGAGGCTTATATCAAGGACTAGGTCCCATGCTGCTGGGATACCTTCCGACGTGGGCTGTCTATCTGGCCGTTTACGATCGTTCCCGGGAATATTTCTACGAGACTACTGGTAAGAGAGTTCTCTATGTCTACTGATTGACGCTGCTGACTTTATTCAATAGACAGCTGGTGGCTCTCCAGAGGGTACGCTTCTCTGACAGCTGGCGCCTGCTCTACACTTGCGACGAACCCAATCTGGGTCATCAAGACGCGACTTATGTCCCAAAGCCTTAAATCTAGCAGTGAAGGGCTTCGGGCCCCGTGGCAGTATAACAGCACTTGGGATGCCGCTCGGAAGATGTACAGGACTGAAGGGATTCGCTCATTTTATTCGGGACTCACGCCGGCGCTATTAGGCTTGACGCACGTTGCCATTCAATTTCCCCTATACGAATACTTGAAGATGGCTTTCACGGGATATGGGATCGGGGAGCATCCTGACAACGGCAGTTCTCACTGGATCGGAATCACTGCCGCCACTTTTCTCAGCAAGGTCTGCGCTAGCACCGTCACCTATCCACACGAAGTGCTTCGGACGAGACTTCAGACTCAGCAGCGGACGTCTCCAGCATCCTCCCCAGAGGAAATCGCGTTCCGAGGTGGATTGGACCATCCCCCGGATCGTGGTCGCCCTCCAGGCGCGGCTTCCTCGGACGGAATGCCCAATCGGCCGCGATATACGGGAATTATCCGCACTTGCCAGACAATTCTCAGGGAGGAAGGCTGGCGTGCATTCTACTCTGGAATTGGCACGAATTTGTTCCGTGCTGTACCGGCTGCGATGACTACCATGCTTACCTATGAATACCTCCGGAAGGCCATTTCGCATATACAACATGAAGGAAAGCTGAAGCTGGAAGTGCAAGAGGGCAAAGCCAGCGACTCTTCTGATGCGCTATAAATTACTAGATCATTAAATTATTGTTACGGGGACATGCAACGGAGGGATAATCGTGTTTGCTGCTTGCCGCTTGTCAGGCTGTTGATGATTGAAGAGATTCAAGGCTCTTTTATTGGTCTGCTTACACATTACACATTGTTCTATGGATGATACCTCGGCCTTGTATCAATGGTGGTGCCGGGGTAAAGTGACAGGCCCTGACATGTGAAGCTTTGATTGTTTCCTGTTCTTGTGGTTCGCCATTTTGTGGTATTGAGCGTCTTCCCTTTCATGAACAGAATAAGTCATCAATGCAATTGTATATAGTCTGTCGTACAACACTCTCCTCTCTGTCGTATTCTTCTATTCTTTCTAACCCTATACTAGATGGTAGTTAGCCTCTCCACTAGGCCACGCAGTGTAGCGCAATGCTGGAATCGAATATCGTCAACCAGCCAGCCAATAAGATGCTATTTCCTGTAAGCGGTGTGGTCACGTGATACACACACTAAAATATCCCGCTGCGACTTTTCGAAAAGTTTTCCCTCTCTTCCATGCTCGCATCCTTGCTCAGGTTACTCTGTTGAGCCAAACTGCCATGATGGAGGCAAGCGCTTCAACGGAGGTGTCGATCGCCACACTATGATCCGGAATGCTTCACCATGGAGTGACCGCGCGCCACTCCTTAGCATCGAATCTGGAATGACCATCATGATGCTATTATCCTCCAGCACTCAATAGGCCTCGATGAAGGCCTCATCAGAATGACTCGGTTTCCCAGACGTCAGGTCGCAGCGACCGTCCAGTCCTCCCTCATCCTCCAGCACACTTATCCATCGATATGATGAACATTTTTCAAATGGTAGATCCTGGTAGTCTTCATAAGGCCTGGGATATGACTATTCATACACTGAAAATTCTGACTCGTGGATATTCTGCCTCGGGGCGTCGGTTGGGCTTGGCCTGATGCGATTCTGCCAATCATTCCTGATGGTGGAAGCTGTTTACTGTTAGTTGTCTTTGGGCCCGGCCCCAAATACACAGCTTCTGTTTACTCATGCAAGGCTGATCGGCCTGGAGGATATATATCTCTTCTGTTCACATAGGGACACAATAATGCAAAAGTACAACTTTATCTACAGAACATGACCCATCCAAAGGCATACCAGCCAGCTGTAGCCTGTAGCTCTTCTCTTCTCCAGTAAGATTTTGAATATCGAGCAATTGAATCTCATGCGCGCGAATCAAGAGTCCTTGCCGCCCCGGCTTTCCTCCAAAGCCTGCTGGACCCAGGATTGTTGAGCGTCCGCCCGCTTGGGACGGGGATTGGTGGTACTAGTGATGGGGGGAGAGGACTGTGCTTCGCGACGGGCAGTATGGATGGAACTGATGCAGTAAGAGCAGAGGATGACCGCCATGGTGAAGGCGGCTATGGGGGCGTTGAGGGACTGGAGATTCGATACATAGTCAGATAGGGTTGATGTTGTGGTGGTGGTGGTGGTGGTAGATTAGTCATTCTCATACAAGAGGGAAGTATGGAGTAAGGAGACCAGAGGGGGAATAAAAAAGTACGAGTATAATGACTAGACTACTCCGTACACGCCTGTCAACTTACCCCCGACGATCGGCCTAGTGTCTTTCCGGCCATTATTTTGAAATGCTTATAGGAAGGGTGGGTGTTTTGATAGTCAAGTGTAAGACCAGGCACGTAGCCTGTTCAGCGGCCACGATTTGTTGTTAGTGTGGACAGGCTTTCGGGGGAATAGTAGCCGGGGCCAGGGTTGTTCCGAGGTAGACGTAGACAAACAGAGGGCGGAGGTGGGAAGTGGAAACAGGAAACTGGAAAGCAGTGGGCAAAATTATCAGATGAAGGCCAGGACGAGAACCGGGGGACGAGACCTTGAGTGCTTGGTAATGCCGCCTGCAGACCGTTCCCGTTGGCCGAAGTGCCCGCCATACCAGAACCAGACTAGAACGAACTGTTCTTCCCGCGGGCACTTGGACTGTACAGTAACTAGACACTAGACACTATACACTATTTGGTACGAATGCAATCCAGTCGCAGCAACGCCGCGATAAGAAAGGGGTTCAGCAACTACGAATCAACAGTCAGTCAGTCACTCACTCAATCTCCCTGTACTGCACTTCCTGTACTTATTTCTTAGCTGCAGCAAAGGGGGAGCGAACGTCATTCCGAAGACCGCATTTCCTCGTATCTCCGAAGCCGGTCCGCGGAGGCAACGGGGTTTCTGGAAAGGGATTAGCGCCGGCGAATAAGACGGACGGACTAAGCTAGTAGTTCAACTTTCCCTCCCTCCATCAAATCAATCATCGACTATCAATCTTTCATCACACACCTCGCCGTCCAATTCATCAACCCTTTCTTCTCCCAATCTCATCAACGACCATCACTTCTGTTGCTCAAAACCATTACCATATCTTCCTAACAGCCTATTGCACGATACCCCTTTCTCTTCTTTTTTCCTCGCCTCTCTCACATAACCACCCACAATGTTCCGCCGTCTCGTAACAGTCGCTCCCCGCTCCGCGGGCGCTCTCTCGCCTCGCATCCTCGCCCCCGCCGTCGCCGGCGTGCAGCAGACCCAGATCTCGAGCCTGCGGGCGGCGTCCGCCCCGTCTCCTCTCCAGCAGCAGGGCCGGGGCTACCACGAGAAGGTCCTCGACCACTACTCCAACCCCCGCAACGTGGGTTCCATGGCCAAGAGCGTCGACGTCGGCACGGGTCTCGTCGGTGCCCCGGCCTGCGGTGACGTGATGAAGCTCCAGATCCGCGTCGACAAGGACACCAACGTGATCAGCGACGTCAAGTTCAAGACCTTCGGCTGCGGCAGTGCCATCGCCAGCTCCAGCTACCTGACCGAGTTGGTCCGCGGCATGACCCTCGACGAGGCCGCCAAGATCCGCAACACTGATATCGCTAAGGAGCTGTGCTTGCCTCCTGTCAAGTGTATGTTTCTCTTCCCCTTCGGTCTCCTGCTTTCATTTCCTTTGCTAGTCTTCGAAAATGTGACATCATGGTCATCAAGTTTTCCTTTCCCCCAAACTAACCCGTTTTCCCCTTTCTTCAGTGCACTGCTCCATGCTCGCCGAGGATGCCATCAAGTCCGCCATCTCCGATTACTACACCAAGAACCCCAAGGCTGTCAAGACCAACCTGGCGGGTACTGGTGCCTCGATCCCGGACCTCCATGCTCAGCCCGAGAAGGCGGCTCCTGTCGCCTAAACATGACCCAAAAGTACGAACAAAATTGAAAATAAAAAACACAATTTGAAGAAAAAAAGGCGATACCATGATATGAATTATTCTCCTTGCATCGTTCTTTTTTTTTTCCCTGACCCACCGGAATTGGAGGCTGAGCAATAAATGATGGACCTCGAGTCATGATCGCCGCAAGCTAATGGTTCTTGTCTTTTCTTTCAATTTGTGAGAGACAAGAAAAACGAAACAAGCAGCAGCTGTGTGGGACAAAACGTTCGCTTTTTTCTTTCTTTTTCTTGATTGTGGATCTAAGACGGAGTTATCTGTTTCTTCACTTCAATACTGTACAGCAATTTTTGTGTCTTATTCTTTTTTTTTTTTCCTTTTTTGCGAGCTTTACTCTCCCAGCTAAGCAAGTCAAGACAAGACAGGCCATTGTGATTAAGTTGACTCGGTGATTACTACAATATATATCAATACTTCCATACCTTCACCATTTCCCCCTTCGGTTTCTATGTGGAATGGCTGCGGCGGGATTTATCTGATTCGCCACAATTTACGTAGTGCGGACTGACATCATCATTCATCCATCCATCCATCCATCCATCCATGGTATACTTCATCTGATAATTGACACCTGAACACTGAGGATCCCCGTGCTTGCATGAAACAAGAAATCTACCCATACCTTCTATACTATATGAGCCGCTAAATATACACCTAGCTTTTCTCAAAAAGATAGTCTATCGAGCCAAAATCACGGACCAAGATGCACAGAAAACCACGAAACAAGATGGATGGGGTTGAACGCCATAAGAATGCACTAATCGTGCGAAGCTGCAAGACGACCTCTACAGCATATTACTCTGAAAGCTCGAGGGCGGGCTCTCGCGGTGCGAAGTAGAAGGATGCAGGTGAATCGGAACGAGGTGTAGTAGACTGTACAGAGGGATTAAAATACGTTGCTCTATACCAACCCAAAGCGGCTCTTCAGTGATAGGAGAGCCTCGTAGACAGAAAGCTTCAGTTCCACGCGCAGGAAGCCGGTCCATGCGCAAAGGAAACGCAAAAAGTTTGAAGGACGGAGAACGCCGCCTGTTTCGTAAACGGCCTCCATTTGTTCCTCGAAGACGGTGCGGGTTGCGTATCGTGCGAGAATGAGGAACGTGCGGATGGGCCCTTGGCGAGTTTGCAGGTTTTCATCAAGACTGCGGGCTGAAATGATATGTTAGAATTATGTAGCCATGCTTAGCAGGAAGAACACCGACTTACTCAGGTCGTTTGTCTTTAGGATCAAAAGGATGATACGAGGAACTTGGCCCAGCAGTTCGACGAGTTGTTGCAACATGCCTTCACCGAGTGCACCAGACATGCTCTCCCTCTCCGCGGACGTGCGGGCGGAAGTGATGTCCTTTTTCTTGAGAACCATGTAGTCTCGTCCAGTAATGGCGCTGGCGAAAAGAGGGAACTGCTCATCCGTTATACCGGCAACTTTGTGCGCGGACTCCCGCATGCGCGACTCATCGGCTTCGATCACCGCCAGCCAGAGCTTTGCATAGTTGCGACGCAGGTCTTGAGGAATGTCCCGGTAGAGTCCATGGTCGTAAAGTACGATATCGAAGTTGTGACGTCGACCGTTTGGGTTGGGACGGATAGCGATGTTCCCCCCATGTGGATCGCAGTGCAAGGGAGCGTTGGCGCCGAAAATCATCTCGTTGAAGATATGTGCCAATGCGGCGGAAACCTCATCCCGGTCTATGTGATTGGAATCCAGGAACTCAAGGTCGTCGGGTCGTCGTCCGGAAAGAAACTCCATAACGAGGATACGCTTCTGGGCCCACATCACTAATAGTTGTGTTAGTTCGCCAATCGACTCGGCCACATGTGTACTTATAACACACCTTCCGGAATAACTAGTGGGGCATGTGAATGCTTCTTGAAGTATTCCTTTGTCCGCATAGCATTTTCAGCTTCCATCCGAAAATCCAATTCTTGTGGCAGAGACAAGTCCATCTCTTTCGACAACCATTCCAAATCGTATTCCGGGAAGAAGCGCTTCAACGTCGAAAAGGTGAATCGAGTCAATGCCAAATCAAGCGGCGCCCACTCTGCCAAAGCAGGATGTTGCACCTTGACCGCGACTTTCTGACCGGTTTCCTTGAGCGTAGCAACATGCACCTGGGCGAGAGAAGCGGCCCCGATAGGCTGTGGGTCGAAGGATGAGAAGAGCTCATCGATACGACGACCAGTATCAGCCACGAACATCGCTTCAACGGACTCGATGGACGAAACGGGGCATTTGTCCTGAAGAGGAATGAAGGTTGTCGTCCACTCCAAGGGCAGCAAGTATCCCATACTGCTCAGATGTTGTCCTAGTTTGATGAAGATCGATCCATTCTGCTCGAGAACACGCAGCGTGCGGTCCGCGCAACGCTTGTGACAGGCCCGTATCGCTTCGTCCCGTTCTCCAGGGGTGGACGTTTCTTGCTTGAGGGTAACACGGTAACTGGTTGCGACCATGTGTGAGTAAGCCTGCCCTACTCGAACTTGGTGCTAAAAGAAGAAAATCTGGTATACTCACTCATTGATACAAATAGCGAGGGCACCGACGACTCGTCCAGTGCGCGCTGCCGCACGGTAGTAATGCTGGACCTCATCCGAGTATACTACTGCCGCAATGGCGATAACTCCACCGATCACAACATATCTGAGTACTCTGTTGTGCGATTTTCCCGGTCCAGACTGCCTCGTGTCATTCCGTCCCGAGGTCGCGGAGGTGGCTGCATTCCGAGTAGGAAACGGCGGTAGTGATAGTGATTGATCGCCGATACGGCGTCGCTGAGTTGCCAAAGGGCGTGGAGTTGCAGAGGAGAGCAAACGAGAAGTAATAGGAGGAGTCGACAGACGAGTCAAGGGGGGGTTCAGGTGGGCAAGATTGGATCGTATGACCACCGCGGGATCAAAATTGTTGGAAGCCCGCAGCGGGATGCGGAGCACCGCCCTCATCCCGAACACGAACAATGCCGTCTAGAGAGCGACCACAAGTCGACAGAAACGAAGGCTTGGACGGTGTATTACATCCGTGCCAGCACCAGAGTCCCAGGGAGGGGGGGAGGTTTGGTTGATGAAAGAGAGGATGCAGAGAAAGGACAAGAGAAAGCGAGAGAGAGGGACTATGGAAAGAGAAGGGAGGCAAGCAGGCAAGCAGGCAGGCAGGCAGGCAAGCCGTGGTGACCGCCGCGTCGCAATTTCCTCGCACCTTTTTTTTTGCCTGGCCCATCGCCCATCGCCGCTTTTCCGCTCCCGAAGATCGCCACCACCCCCGGACGAGGTCTTGGTCTTATTTACACTTTTCTTTCTAGCTTACAATATGCAGCACCCCTGGTGAAGGACACCATATGTGAATAGTTCGCCTTTCCTTGGTTTCTTTGTACACAACCATCTTCGTTCTCCTCGAATATGCTTAGCGCCCATACGAACGGCCGCAATGGATGTCATCAATGGTTATTTACAACATGTCGGCCACTGTAGCTTGTAGCTTCCTCCAACAAAATAATATGCCCTAATCACCATGCTCTGCTACCTTAGCTGTTCGGCTTTCGTGCGTCCTAATGCAGCTC